TCAAATTACTTTTATATAAAAAGTGAAATGCAGATATGTTTCTGTTGTATTCGGATTTATCCGGAAAATCGACACCTCTGTTTAAAGTAAAGTAACCCCTTTACCACCCCCTCCCCCATCCCACCCCACCCGCTCCACCACACACACAACACACACACACACACACACACACACACACACACACACAAACACACTCACACAAACACAAATACACTCACACACATATACACACACACAAACACATCACACAAAACACCACATATTCGTGGGGACAAGAGTCAAAGGTATCAGTCCTTGGGAAAAGCGTCAGAGCCGTGCATTTTCGAAAAAAAAGTAGCAAAGCCTCGCACTATCAGAGTTGCGCACTTTTCAAAGATATTGAGAGATTTCGCTAGCCGATTACCAATCCATAACATCCACATATTATTCAATTGGTCGCTTTTAAGGACAAGCGGGCAAAACCCAGATTTCGGGGTTTTCCAGAATTCTTGACCTATACCAAAAGTGGACATTGCTCTACCTAGAGGAGAAGTATGGTTTAATTAGTGCGTATATTTGTTTGGTTACAGAGAAAACTCTCCTTGTCATTTGAACAATCTGAACAAGGGTCCAAAAACTTCAACTTTGATTTTCTCAAAACATAATTTTCGGGTATAGCCCCCTTGTGCTTATAAGCGACCATATAATACATGTGTATTTATACACCAACATACACACACACACGCACACAGACACCACATATTCGCGGGGACTACAGTCAAAGGTATCAGTCCTTGGGAAAAGCGTCAGAGCCGCCCAATTTCGAAAAAAAAAAGTAGCGCACTTTTCAACGATATTGAGAGATTTCGCTAGCCGATTACAAACCCATAACATCCACATATTATTCAATTGGTCGCTTTTAAGGACAAGCGGGTTAACCCAGATTTCGGGGGTTTCCAAAATTCTTGACGTATACCAAAAGTGGACATTACCCTACCTAAGGGAGAAGTTTGGTTTAATTAGTGTGATAAGCTGTTTGGTTACAGAGAAAACTCTCCTTGTCATTTAAAGAATCTGAACAAGGGTCCAAAAACTTCAACTTCGATTTTCTCAAAATAGCATTTTTCGGGATAGCCCCCTTGTGCTCAAAAGCGACCATACGGTATATATACACACACACACATACACACACACACACACACACATACACACACTCGCACACAGACACCATATTCGCGGTGACCAAAGTCAATTGCATCAGTCTTTGGGAAAAGCGTCGGAGCGGCGCATTTTGAAAGACTAAGTATCAAAGCCTCGCACTATCCAAAGAAAAGTATCAAAGCCTCGCACTATCGAAAGAAAAGTATCAAAACCTCACACTATCGGAGCCGTGCACTTTTCAACGATATGGAGGATTTGGATTGCCGATTACCGGTACCCATAACATCCAGCGATTTAATTGCTCTGCGTTTTACTGGACTTTTGGGACGGGACCAACATAATAATATGTGAGGCAGCGTGGTGGAATCGGGCTCTCGTCAAATTTTGGGCATATTGAGTTATTGGCATCATGTTAAAGCTTGTTCATTTGTCTTGCTTTCAATGAAAAAATTAACCATCCATCTTCAATAGAAGTGGAGATATTTGGGATTGAAGGAGGTGGGGGTCACTTGATTTAAGAGGTAAAATTAGCGAGAAAATGGCCGCCAAAGCTTGGTAAATTCCAAAGCTGGAGAGTCCATGGAAACTGTACATTTATATTTTTGGGCCTTAAATCAATGTTTTCGGTGAAATCCTCAAAGGAATGTGTTTTTAAATGGACATAAAAGGCGTTGCGCCAAAAAACAAAAATTTGATAAAAATTGCTAAGCAGGGAGAAGACTGCTGTTTTCTTCGATTTCATTATATTGACGAGAGCCTGATTCCACCACGCTGCCTCACATATTATACCAACAGTGCACGTCTTTGACAGTAGTTGTCTTCTTTCTCTCGAAAAATCGCGGATCTATTATTATTAGCTTCCCAGTCCTAATTAAATAATATCTCACCATCAGGATCCGTGCACGGGAAAATGGTGGTGCAGTTGCGCCTGGTGACTGGCTTGGTGATGACGTCACAGAACTTATCCCCTTCGTGACGACAGACCACCTCTCTGACCTGCTCGCCCCAGCCACACGTCACGCTGCACTGAAACCACAGACAGGACGAACATGTATATCGTCGGAGAGGTTGTTAAAACGTGATAATTCCAGAAAACAAAAGTTTACGGGAGAAAGAAAGAAATACATACTTATTATATTTATCGTCGAAGGGTTGTTATACCGTGATAAGGCGCCCACAAAACAATATTTTACGGGAGAAAGACAAGACGTGCCGTCGGAGAGGTTGTTAAGACGTAGTAAATCCAGGAAACAGTATGTTACAGGAGAGACAAAGACAGAATCAGATAGGAAATATCGTCGGAGTGTTGTTCAAAAGTTATCAGCCCAGAAAACAATACTTTACGGGAGAAAGACAAATAGGAAGTATATCGTCGGAGAGCTTATTAAAACGTGATAAATCCAGAAAACAGTATGTTACGGGGGAAAGAAAGAAATACATAATTTTTTTTACATTTATCGTCGGAGAGTTGCTAAAATGTAGTAAGTCTAGAAAACAATATTTTACAGGAGAGACAAAGACAGAATCAGATAGGAAATATCGCTGGCAAAGTCTTAAAACGTAGTAATCAGATAGGAAATATCGCTGGCAAAGTCTTAAAACGTAGTAATCAGATAGGAAATATCGCTGGCAAAGTCTTAAAACGTAGTAAGTCCAGAAAACAAGTATTTTACGAGAAAGACAAAGACAGGTATGTTGTGTCGTTGGCACGTTGTAAAAACATAGTAAAGCTAGAAAACAATACTTTACATGAGTAAGAGAGACAAATCTGACGTATCGTCGGAGATTAGTTAAAACGTTATAAGTCGAGAAAACAATGTTTTACGGCAGAGAGACATAATAATTTATCGTCGGCAAACCGTTAAAACATGATAAGCCCAGAAGACAATGTTTTACGGGAGAGACAAAGACAGAAACAGATAGGAAATATCGTCGGAGTGTTGTTCAAACGTTATCAGCCCAGAAAACAATACTTTACGGGAGAAAGACAGATAGGAAGTATATTGTCGGAGAGGTTGTTAAAACGTGATAAATCCAGAAAACAGTATGTTACGGGAGAAAGAAAGAAATACATAATATGTTTTACATTTATCGTTGGAGAGTTGTTAAAATGTAGTACGCCCAGAAAATAGTATGTTATGGGAGAGACAAAGACAGAAACAGATAGGAAATATCGTCGGAGGGTTGTTCAAACGTTATAAGCCCAGAAAACAATATTTTAAGGTAGAAAGACAGACAGTACATTTATCGTCGGAGAGGTTGTTAAAACGTAGTAAGTCCAGAAAACAATGCTTTACGAGAGAAAGACAGACAAATATGACGTATCGTCGAAGAGTTGTTAAAATGTTATATATAAGGCCAGAAAACAATATTTTACGAGAGAGAGAGACAGATATTTATCGTCGGCAAACCCTTAAAACGTGATAAGCCCCGAAGACAATGTTTTACGGCAGAGACAAAGACAAATATGGTGTGTCGTTGACAAGTAGTAAGCCCAGAAAACAATATTTTATGTTCGAAAGAAAGAAAGACACATTATATTCATCGTCGGATAGCTGTTAAAACGTAATAAGCCCAGAAAACAATGTATTACGGGAGAGAAAAAGACAGATCTATGTGTCGTCGGCATCTTGATAAAACGTTGTAAGCCCAGAAAACAATATTTTACGGGAGAGAAAAGACACATATACCTCCGGCAAGCCGTTGAAATGTGATGAGCCAGAGAAGCACATTATATTTTACAAGAGGTAAAAACATGGTGAAATGGTATACGTTTAAAGCCCTTATCAACACTACAAAGTTGTTTAAAAAGAGGCGTTTAACGACCACCCCCAAAGGGATCAAGAAGGAGGAAATAACTGTTTCATTCATTTTACATTAGAACGTAATATGTGAGGAAGCGTGGTGGAATCAGGCTCTCGTCAATTTCTGGGCATGTAGAGTTGTTGATATCATCTTAAAGCTTATTCACTTGTCTTTCTTTGGATGGAAAAAAAACCCATTTATCTTGAATACAAGTCGAGATATTTGCGAAAGAAGGAGGTGGGGGTCACCTGTTTTCAGAGGTAAAATTAGTGAGAAAATGGCTTCCAAAGATTAGTCATTTCGTTAGCTTAAGTGCCCGTGGTAACTTAAAATTTACATTTTTATGCCTTTAATCCACCACTTTTCAAAAAAATCAACACAGAAATGAGTTCTTTCATGGGCATGAAAGGTGTTGAGCCAAAAAACAAAAATTTGATAAAAATTCACGAACCTGTGGAAAAATGCAAGTTTCTTCACTTTGATTATTTCGACGAGAGCCTGATCCCACCACGCTGCCTCACAATATTACGTGTTTTTTTGTATTTCTTAAAACAATCAGAGTTTGAATTATTTCTTTTCTTTCTTCTTTTTTTTTTTGGGGGGAGGGGAGGAGCAGCGTTTTGAGTAATAAAGTATATAAGAGTTTAACACCCTATCAGCACTATTAGTTTACTTATTTAATTGGAGTGGCCTCCGAATTTAACGTCCGTTTGCGATAGGACTGAGCCAACAGGGTTGATCCAAGAGCCTTGACAACTTCACAAAATGACCTGAGTTCAAGAACGCCCAGCCTCAGGGAAAATAAACAACAACAACTATAACAACAACATCAACAACAACAACAACAAAACAAAAACAACAACAACAAACAGACAAAACAAACAAAAACAACAAACTACAACGATGGATGAAAACATCCAACACAATAAAATAATATAATTGGATAACGCAGCAAGTATAAACACCTTAGATATTTCCTCTGTGACGTAACATTTATACTCCGGGCCAGTTTTTGATTGTTTCCAGCACACTGTAAAGATTTATCTGAAGGAGTAACGATGACATTGATCTCTTCGGACGCGGCCATGCTAAGCACTTTTCATACTCAAGAGTGAGAGTGAGAGAGACAGGAGAGAGAGAGAGAGAGAGAGAGAGAGAGAGAGAGAGAGAGAGAGAGAGAGAGTAAGAAGGAGCGCGCGGGTGGGAGTGATAAAGGTAGAGAGAAGAGGACACCGGGATTGTAAGACTAAGATTAAGAAGGTAAGACGTCTTGATCAAGAAATAAGAGATGGAAGCGCCAACAC